CAAGTTGATGTAATTTCTGGCTCTCCTTAAAGATGCCTTCTCTTCTTCATCCCGACGCTCGTCTTCTGAGTTCATGATCAAAAATCTAAAGACCACTAAGTTAAGAAAGGCCCCAATCACTGTCAAGCCCACTAGGATGTACATAAAGCTGAAGGCTACATAGGGAGGCTTCTTCTGCAAAGCTTCGTGTTTCTGCAAGGCGACAAAGTCTCCGAATCCAATGGTGGTCAACGTTATGAAGCAGTAGTAAAAGGCATGGAAGAAAGTCCAGCCTTCAAAATAGGAAAAGGCAGCTGCCCCAATGCCTAATGTCCCCATGCACGAGAGAAAACCAACCACAACCATGTTTTTCATGGAGACTGTTGTCTGCCTCATTCCCAGGCACTGCTTTATTTTTTTTAGCACCATCCGAACAAGAATGTTCATACGCTCCCCAAGGCTCTGGAACATAACCAGGGTGAGTGGGATACCAAGGATCGCATAGAACATGCAAAACACTTTGCCAGCATCCGTTCCAGGAGCCGCATGCCCATAGCCTGCAGCAAAACAAGGAAACAAAAAGAGAAACTTGTATTAAACATTAAGAAAGAAACAAAATCACAGTCCATCCTATTTCAAGAACTAGTTTATTAATGGAAAATTCAGGTAACTGTCTTTCCCTGTGTGTGTGGGCAACAGGTGATGTCGGTCTCAAAAGCTAGATATTCCCCTAGGACAGGGGTCAGCAACCTGCGGCTCTGGAGCCGCATGTGGCTCTTTCACCCCTCTGCGGTGGCTCCCTATCACTCAAAATGTGTCACAGCCACCAATGTGCAAAACCCACCGGCACACGATTTATTGAGCTTTTCAACCCCCAACCATGGATAAATCCAAGAAAAGAAAAAATTCTGAAGAAAACAGAACGTTTAATTCAACTACATATGCTAGTTTTGTGGCCGTTCAAGAAATAGTTAGGCACGGGAAGGGTTTTGTGGTTCCTGGTGTTTTCTTTTCTGTGGGAAATGGGTCCAAATGGCTCTTTAAGTGTTTAAGGTTGCAGACCCCTGCCCTACGATACAAAACAACCTTGTACAATATGATACACAAAGAAAAGATAATAAAACCTTACATGTATTGAAGGACCAGATATTTAAGGATGATGAGAAGAAATGAAAACATGAAATGATATGACACCTTAGAAAACACAAGTAATAATTTATTGGCCCAACCTATGTTGAGCCGATATATAAAGAAAACTTATTATTAACCCATAATACGTAGTAGAACAAAGCTTTCGCATTCACACTAGAGCAGGAGTGTCAAACTTGCGGCCCGCGGGCCAGATGCATCATGTGCTCCCCCCCCCCCCCCGTTTAGCGAAGGGGAAACAAGTCCCGCTACGTCACGTGACGACACCATGGTGACGCGAGTTTGGCACCCCTGCACTAGAGATTACTGATAATCCTTTCCAAGAATTAAAAACACTTGCTGCTGAAGATGTTGAAGATGTGCATGATGGCGATTCCTAGCATGATACAACTTTGTTTCCATTTTTCCAAACTTGATCACTGTTAAAAACCCCAAGAACTGTTAGCGAGTGGAGTTACTCAAGAGGGGGAAAGGGAAATTTGTTATATTCAATGCCAAGTTTGAGAACCATTGGAAAAGCTTTCTGGTCTTCTCTATCCAATACCCTTTTTGAGTAGCCAGTTCACTAAAAGGCCCCTACTCCAGTAATTTTAGAAACAAAGAGGCCTACAAGCAACAACTCCAGCTTGTTCGTACATGCCCAGTTTATTGAGTGGAATATGAGTTAGTTCCAGGCATGAAATTGTATTGACAGAAAGCTAGTAAATATTTGTTTGGTAGCTGCTTTTGAAGACTTATTGGCAAAGCTGAACTACGAATTTCCACTTCAAACCTACAGGGGCTGATTTTCTTTATGCATTAACAGTATCTATTTATTATTTTGTTTATTTTATTATTTTTCTAAACCTTTTCCAATTTTTTTCTTTTTCTTCTCTTTCTTTCTTTCTTTCTTTCTTTCTTTCTTTCTTTCTTTCTTTCTTTTTCTTTCTTTCTCTCTCTCTCTCTCTCTCTCTCTCTCTCTCTCTCTCTCTCTTTCTTTCTTTCTTTCTTGGCTGGAGTGGGTAGACAAATAAATATTTCAAATGTCATTCCTCTCTAGATTTGTTTATAGGCATTATAAAATTATGGTTTTTTTTTTCTTTTCAATTCTTTTCCTAATGAAATGTGCTACACCATTATCTTTTTGCTAAACAGTTGCCAAATGTCAGGTCAATGTTTTCTTTGAGTACAGTATGCTCATTATAGCACTTTTCCCAGCTGGTCAAATTCATGCATATATAAAATAAATATTTTATCATAACCTACATCTACATTTTACTGCTTATCCATTCAATTCGGAATCATGCTTGGAGAGCTCTCTGTAATCTCTTGCCCCCCACCATCAATGAGCATCATCTACTTCCCATTCTGATCTCTACATTATCTGAGAAAATATTAAAAATCAACATTTCCATTGGTGAGACTCACTTGGGGCTCCATGTCTTATATCCCTCCACTCGGAAAAATGCCCATGTTTTCTACTACCCTGTTTCCCCGAAAATAAGACCCAACTGGAAAATAAGTCCTAGCATGATTTTTCAGGATGCTTGTAATATAAGCCCTACCCCCAAAATAAGCCCTAGTTATGATTGTCAGCCAGATGAGTGCATTTAGTATCATTCCCCCCCCCCAATAAGACCTAACCAGAAAATAAGCCCTAATGTGTCTTTTGGAGCAAAAATTAATATAAGACCTGGTCTTATTTTCGGGGAAACACAGTATTTACTTCAATCTTTAACCAAATTGAAACCCAAGTCCTGGTTTCCTGAGAAGTAAAGACAATATTTGCACGACAAGAAAAAAGAAAGCGGGGATCAAAAACTGGATGTTGAGAAACGTAAATTGCACAAAAGTACAGTGGAAGAGAAGGTACTCTAAGGATAGAGTCATATGCAAACCAGACATGGCAACTCGCTTTCTGCAAGGTTTGGCAAGAACAACTTTGCATGGATTCTTTCCCATTCATTCTTGTCCCCTTATCCTGTACATAAACAGTGATGTCAACAGTTCTTCTCCAAAGAAGAGACAGTTAAAGATACATGAATATATCACCATAGATGGAAATCATACTTGCTATTATTTATGTTATTGTGCGAAGAGAAGAAATCTTGTTATGGTGCAATACTAATTTTTCCATTATTCCTTGTCTGGCCTTCAGGCGCCTTGGAAAACAGCTTGACCCACTCCTCTCTGTGGCAGCCCCTCAAATATTGGAACACTGCTATCGTGTCTCCCCTGGTCCTTCTCTTCACTTTCCCAGATCAATTGGGGATGAGTGGCCAGTTACATTATAGCATATAAGATTGCAAAAGAATGTAAGAGTAGCATTGGAAGAAGAGATCTGAAGTGAGATAGCAATAATTCTCACTGAAAGCTCATGAGATAAAGAGCTTATACATCCTAATTTTGTTGAAAATCGTCAGTACACTAAACTGGCATTGATGCTGGACTTCTCCAGTGAGCAGTATTCACATCTCAAGCCTGTTTTGGAAGTACAGGAAGTTCTCCATTTCTGACCACAACTGAGCCCAAAATTTATGTTGCTGAGTGAATTGTGCCCTATTTTACAACTTTTCTTGCCACATTTGTTAAGTGACAACACTGCAGTTGTTAAATTAGTAATACGGCTGAATCTGGTTTCCCTATTGACTTTGGTGGTCAGAATGTTGCAAAAAGGGATCGTATGACCCAGGGACACTGCCACCGTCATAAATATGAGTCAGTAGCCAAGCATCTTTGTCACGTGTCCTTGGGGATGCTGCAACAGTCGTAAGTGTGAAAAACGGTCGTAATTCACTTTTTTCAGGGCTGTTGTAACTTTGAATTGTCACTAAGCGAACTGTTATAAGTCAAGGACTACCTGTACTGTCCTTTTCTCTTTTGCAAGTGACCCCAGTTCCCGGTGGAAAGTGGATTGTGAGCAAGCAAAGTACACTATACATATTCAGAAATGCTTTTCATAAGTTAGCTCGTACATTCTATCGTTCAGAAAACAGCTAAAATTAAGCTTGAAATGTGGGCTTGTTGGGGCAGCCAAGGAAAGCTCACACTGACTGATGGCTGCAACCATGATTTCTGGTGGTCCAATCTGCCTGCCAATTCCTCAGCTTGTAGCCCCCAAAGCATCTTGAGACCACCAAGCTGGGGAAGGCTGGTGTAAGAGCAGCTGCAGGAACTAAGATCACACTGACTAAGGTCATCGGTCTGAACCTTTGTTGCTGGTATCCTTACGATTTAAATTGACTGTTTCCTAATATGATTTGATTGCTTATTTGTACTCTATGACTATCATTAAGTGTTGTACCTTATGATTCTTGATGAACTATCTTGTCTTTTTATGTACACTGAGAGCATATGCACCAAAGACAAATTCCTTGTATGTCCAATCACACTTGGCCAATACAAAATTCTATTCTATTGTGTTCTGTTCTGTTCCATTCCGTTCCTTTCCGTTCTGTTCTGTTCTGCTCTGCTCTGCTTCTTGTGACTTCGTGGGCTCTGAGTCCACCCAAGAGTTAAAGGCTCACCTGAACGCAGGTAAACTCTGTCCACCAATCCTTACTACATGCCAACGCCAACGCCCCTAAACTGCTACGCCTTTTAAGATCTGGCGCACAGAGCTCGCGTTTAGGCTAGAATGGATGGATGCCTTAGGATGCCCCGCGCCACACCTCCTAGTACAGCCGGCAAGGCGGAAGAGAGTCGAGCGCACCCACAGGTGGCTTCTTGAAAGGAGAGTGAGGAGGAGATAATGGGGATGGGGATGGGGATGGGGCGGGGGCGGGGGAGGGGAGGGGAGGGGAGGGCCGCCCCGCCGCCTCGTGGCCGAAGGGAAAAGCGGGCGCTTGGTGCCGAGAGTCGCGCACTCACCGATGGTGGTGATCACCGTAATGGCAAAGTAAAAGGAGCCGGCGAACCTCCACTGACGGCCGGCTCGATGAGGTTCGGCCCGCAAGACCAGCCGCTCCAACTCCCGGTAGTCTTCCGCCGAGAAGCGGTACTTCTTTCGGAGGTCGCTGCGCTTCTGCTCCAGGAGGCGCTTGTGGCCGATCTCGGCCTCGGATTCGAGCGCATCGAAGACGGCGGCGCCCACCAGCAGATAGGAGAAAACGCAGACGATCAGGGAGACCGTGCGGAGGTTCTGCCGCTTCATGGCGAGCAGGCGGCCGCCCCAAGTAGGCAGCATCAGCCGGGGCGCCGCATGGCCCCCGCGCAGCCTCCTTACGAGCAGCCCGCCATCCCCTCGGCGACCCCCGGGGCTTTGCGCGGCGAGGGAGCCCGGGGGAGGGGAGAGCTGAGCTCCCGGGGGCAGCAGCTTCCGCCAGCAGCCGGGCTCGCCTGCCCTGCCTCGGATCGAGCAGCTCCCCGAGTGACAGCCGAGAGGTCGATTCTGCCTCCCGCCCTGGTTCAGCTGCTCGTACCTGCGGCGATCTCCGGCGCGGTTGCAGCCACAAACGAGCGGCTCCAGTCGCAGGCAGGAGCCACCACGCCTCCCCTTTCCAGCTGCGGGTGTGGGAAGAGGAGGCGGGCGGGGCCGGGAGCTCTTGCGCCACCGGAGGCCGCACCCCGGCGAGCCGAAGGAGCTTCGCTTTGTGAACTCGCGCTGTCCTAGCTGGAACCTGAGCGCCTTGAAACCGGGACCGTGAATCGCCTTTAGGTTTTAACCCCTTAACTGCGGTCCGGAACCTTAGCAGTACTGGAAGCGAAACCCCATCGGTTCCTCAAGCAAGGCGCTCACTGGCGCGCAGTAGGATTTCTTTCCAAGTACTGTATGCAATTTTTTCCCCTTTGGTCTTCGGATGACGTCATTAGGCCCAGTTTTTGTCCTGGCTCTCTCGACATTTTGAGCAGTGAGCCCCTCTAGCAGGACAAAAATTAAAGTGGCTTTTATTTGGCGTTTGGCATCTTTTATTGCGGTTATAGTCTATCCCCTCTCTCCACTGGCAATAACTTTTGGGAGGTTTTCAGAAGCTGGAAAACTAAGGTTCTGAAGCACCTCCGATTTCATATGCAGCCTTTGGCTTAATGCTGCTTTGCTTTGGCCAGGAAAAGCCACCAGGTAGTAAAAGCTTAACTGAGGCACTGAAAAGAAATCATTCCCATTATCGACTAAACAGGTTACTCTTGATTTTATTCTGTTTGCAACCGAAGTTGTCTTCTATAGGTGTTGCCAACGTGTGGTAAATTTAATGTCAGCAATTCCATTAACGTATCAAACTAATGAACAGGCAATCTATCAAAAGTTAGGTACTTGAAACGAAGGTAGGAAAAATGGTTTAAGGTGAAGTGTGGTAAAACTGTGGATTTGATTCATTGAGATCAAAGCCAAAATGGTGTCTGTATAAATTTAGCTCTCAGTAATCCTTTGGATAGACATTATACTGTTCCCACCCACTGCTAGGAGATTTGAAGAGCCCTCCAGCACAACAGGGTGGATAAGTCACATGCTTGCTGCTTTTAGTTCCTGTTTTGTAATTTTTTTAAATAATAATTAGACCAAGCAGATGGCAAACTTGCTGAAAATAACTTCATATATGAAACAAAATCATATTCTGTCAGCCTTACCAGGTGGACCAAACAAGAAACATGACCAGATGAGCTAATTCCACTCTATTGTAAGGCTACATTATCAGAATCTTGTGAGTCTGAAAATACAATTCTCCCCCATCACTTTTACATCCCAAAAAATTAGGGAGGGTCTCTTCTGAGCCTCTTGCCCCACCCACTATCCAGATGGGGAATATGCTGCCACTTATCACCCTGCTAACAAAAGTGTGTATAGTCAAGGCTATGGTTTTCCCAGCTGCAATGTATGGCTGTGAAAGTTGGCCCATAAGAAAGGCTGAGCGCCAAAGAATTGAGGCCTCTTTTTTTTTCATAATATTTTTTATTTTCAAACAAAAACAGCATAAAAACATCATCATTCCAAACAGTCATAAACAGCGTATCGATCGGTTAACATCCTTTTGTGCTCAAAAAATCTTCAAAATATTAATACATGACACAAGCTTCCTTTCCCTAAAAGAGAATTTTACACGTTTTATCTTAACTTCCACTTCATATTTCATATTTCATTTCCATGTTTTATTGTCTATCCATTGATAAAACAAACCCCATATCAAATAATATTGATTATCTTCCTGTTCTCTTATTTCAAATGTCAATTTACTCATTTCTGCACAATCTATCATTTTCCTAATCAGTAGGTATTTTCTCTCCTTTCCAGTTTTTAGCAAATACAATTCTAGCAAGAATTGAGGCCTTTGAACTATGGTGCTGGAGAAGACTCCTACGAGTCCCTTGGGCTGCAAGGCGATCAAACCGGTCAGTCCTAGAGGAGATCAACCCTGACTGCTCTTTAGAAGGCCAGATCCTGAAGATGAAACTCAAATACTTTGGCCACCTAATGAGAAGGAAGGACTCACTCGAGAAGAGCCTAATGCTGGGAAAGATTGAGGGCAAAAGAAGAAGGGGATGACAGAGAACAAGGTGGCTGGATGGAGTCACTGAAGCAGTCGGCGTGAGCTTAAATGGACTCCAGGGGATGGTAGAGGACAGGAAGGCCTGGAAGAACATTGTCCATGGAGTCTTGATGGGTCGGACACGACTTTGCAACTAACAACAGCAACAAAGGACCCTCTCTTCACCCCATGTCCCAAAGTCCACACCCCATTATACATTCAGAATAAAATTTGATTTAATTCTACATCATTTAGGAATTTTATGTTGAATTTAGAACATCTGTGTTGTATTAACACACCTTTGTACAATAGAATCAGGAAGAGTGCTGCATAAATCAAAGGGATGAAGCCTCATACAACAGGACCCTAAGTCATGCAGATACTCCCAACTTTACGTCTGTGTACTCACTTGGCATCTGCATAGAAAATGCTTATGCATAGTGATCACTGCATGAAGGCTTCAGCAGATGTAGGTACCCAATTGTGAAGAATTTGGTCTCCTGCAAAGCCAGTAGGTTATGTTGTATAAAGTTTCCCCCTGCAAGTATTATATCAAAGACTTTTTTTTGCTGAATTCACACATCATATTAAGCCATAGTGTAATATCTTTAATTTTTTTTACTTTTTGGCTTAGCTTTTTTTTAGATGGTAAGCCACAATTGCTTTTTTCAGTAAGACACTGTTAAAATAAATGAAATTTAAAACAAGCTTTGAAAAAAATGATAGCAATTTTATTAGTACCTATTTGTAATATGAGAGTTTCAGGAGCTGGAAGCAACAGCTTATTAAATTTTAGGGTCAATGTGTCCTGCCCGCAGTCCCCCTAATGTATCTCAAAATTTATGGCTCTTAGACACTAAAAGATTGCCAACTCCTGATTTACAATTAGTTAGAATCTGTCACTCTTTGCAGCTGCTAATGAAGAGAAGGCTGTTGTTGGGTTGCTGGCAATCTCCCAAAGTCTAAAGTTATCTATTCTGCTTATTTCTTTGTCATCAATATCTTAGTCAGAGCAGGTGTGCAATGGGGGGGTTTCTTTTGGTTTCAAAGAGCAGGTGACAGCCATGGATAAGGGCCTCTGAACAGATGCATCTTTTGCATCAATTGCACCCTGTCCTGGAGTGGGAGGCCTTTTTCATGGTGATTCATGTCTTAATCACCCTCCACCTGGGTTATGGAAATATGCTCTATATGGGCTTGTTGTTGAAGAGTGTTTGGAAGCTGTAGTTGGTCCATAATGACAATGCAGGCATTTTTTTGGCGTCACCTGTTCTGCTGCAGTGGTTCCCAGTAGGCTTCTAAAACCAATTCTAGGTGATGATTACTATCTATAAAGCCTTACATGGCATAGGACCAAGCTATTTGTGGGAGCATTCATTCCCCATTGGTTCTACCAGCTCTTCCAGGTCTAACAGGGAGAGCATGCTCTGGATCTCTTCAAACAATGCCATCTTGTTGGACCCTGGAATATTGCCTTCTTTTTGGCTACACCTGCACTATGGAGTGGCATTCTCCACCCACAGAGATCCAGATGACCCCAACCCTATTACTTTTTGTAAGAAACTGAAGACCTGGCTGGTCCCTTAGGTTTTTAGGCTAGGCGGTTAAGCAAGTGCTTTGTTGGGGTTATTGTTTAATTGGGGTCTCCTGAGTTTCTACTTTTGTGATGATTTTAAACCTTTGCACACCATCCAAAGTCACTTCTGTGGAATTGATGGCTCCATCAACTTTTTAAATTAACCCACAATTTTCTTTATATATTGTAATCTGACCATAAGAAACATTCTCAAAATTCAGTGCAATACAAGGATCATCAACCTTACTAAAATTTAGGCAAAGTCTTTTCTTAACATCCTTGCAACCATAAATCAATAAGGTTTCAGGAGAAGGTAAGGGCGACAGCAGGGGATGGAGAAATGGCCAGGGCAGAGAGAGAGATATAGGGGGGGGGGAGAGAGATATAGAGATACAGAGAGAGGGGGGAGGGAGGGGAGGGAGAGAGATGTCAAAAGGTTTTTGTGGTTCCTGGTGTTTTTTAACAACTGGTTTTCTGCCCTAATGACCAGCTGGGTAGGCGTGGCTGGGGGGGGTCATGTGACTGGTGGAAGTGAGTGACATCAAGTTGGCCACGCCCACCCAGGTTTTGTAGCTCCTGGTGTTTTTCTGTGGGAAATGGGTCCAAATGCCTCTTTGAGTGCTTAAGGTTGCAGACCCTTGGTTTAGAGGGATACTCAGGAGAAATTGTGTCAATTGCCTAGGCCAGGGGTGTCAAACTCATGTCATCATGGCGGTGTCACATGATGTATCAGGACTTATTTCCCCTTTGCTAAACCAGGTGTGGGCATGGACATTGCATAACGTATCCGGCCCATAGCCCGGGAGTTTGACAGCCCTGGCCTAGGCCATTCCCATGTTCTGTAAACTGACCAGGATTTCAACAACAGTGTCAGCAGACTGAGAACATCTGCAGTGCATTCAGAAAGCCTCTATCAGGCACTACAGAAGAGGTTCATAGCAGATTGCTTTCTGAAAGTGACCGGAGAATGGATCTGGCCATGACAACAGAACTACAAAGACATTTTCTATTTTCAGATCACTGGGTCCCATTGAATCCAAATTGAACTGAAATTAAATGCCAAATCCAGTTTGTGCCCTACTACAGATATACCAGTCAGAAATAGGTCTGTGATCATCATGACAGGCATGAAATCCTCTGAAATCTTCTGCTCCTAAGTAGGCAGTGTTAGGGTGGATACTGAAGTCCTCCAGGATAAGAGGTATGTTGTCTATTCTGTCATCAAAGATAATGCAGAATAGGTCAAGAAGAGAAAACATTATGCAATGGAAGGACAGTACACCAGCTGTATCTTTTTAGCCACTCAAATATAGTTGTAAATGTTTAAAAATTTGTAAGACTGAAATGGAACTTCTGATTAGTAAAATGGAATTCTTGCAGAGAAGATTCATATCACACTCCTATCTTTCAGCCCTAGCTTGTATCACAGGCTAACTCAGCAGATGGAACTGAGAAAAATTAAATCCCATTCCCTTCTCTCAGCCAGGTGTTATGCTTGGTCAGCAACTCCTTGTGCCAGGTTTGAATACTCATTCAGTAATTAATCTTTGATAATGGAAGTTTTACCAGCAACTATCAATTATCACAAAAGTAGAAATTCACGAGACCCCAATTAAACAATACCCAAAACAAAGTACTTGCTTAACTGCCTGGCCCTAGCCTAAAAACCTAAGGGACCAGCCAGGTCTTCAGTGTCTTACAAAAAGTAATAGGGTTGGGGCCATATGAATCTCTGTGGGTGGAGTCAAAAAGAAGGCAATATTCCAGGGTCCAACAAGATGGCATTGTTTGAAGAGATCCAGAGCATGCTCTCCCTGTTAGACCTGGAAGAGCTGGTAGAACCAATGGGGAATGAATGCTCCCACAAATAGCTTGGTCCTATGCCATGTAAGGCTTTATAGATAGTAATCATCACCTAGAATTGGTTTTAGAAGCCTACTGGGAACCACTGCAGCAGAACAGGAGGTGCCAAAAAATGCCTGCATTGTCATTTGGTGCAATGGTGAAATTCAGATTTTTTTACTACTGATTCTGTGGGTGTGGCTTGATGGGTGTGATGTGGCTTGGTGGGCGTGGCAGGGGAAGGATACTGCAAAATCCCCATTTTGCAGTATAGAATAGAATTAGAATTAGAAATAGAATAGAATAGAATAGAATAGAATAGAATAGAATAGAATAGAATAGAATAGAATTCTTTATTGGCCAAGTGTGATTGGACACCCAAGGAATTTTGTCTTTGGTGCATATGCTGTCTGTGTACTGTACATAAAAGGGGGAAAAAAGGAAAAATGAAAGGAAAAAAATATGTAAGATACACTTAGTGATATTCATAGATTACTAATAAGCAATCAAATCATACTAAGAAACAACAGAACAATGTAAGTCGTAAAAATACAGGCAACATGGTTATAGTCATAAGTGGGAGGAGATAGGTAATAGGAAGGATGAGAAGAATAATAGTAATACAGTCTTAGTAAATAGTTGACAGTGTTGAGGGAATTATTTGTTTAGCAGAGTGATGGCATTTGGGAAAAAACTGTTCTTGTGTCTAGTTGTTCTGGTGTGCAGTGCCCTATAGCAGTGGTCCCCAACCCCCGGTCCGCGGACCGGTGCCGGGCCGTGGAGTACCTGGCACCGGGCCGCGCAGCGGCCGGGGGACATGAACGCTGCAGCGCATGGCCCAGGAACCTTTGCGCTGCAGCGTTCATGTCCCCCGGCCGCTTTTGCACACTGGGCCGTGCGCAAAAGCTCCTGGGCCGTGGCCCCACCCCTGCGCGCGCTCAGCGGGCCGCGGCGTTAAAAAGGTTGGGGACCACTGCCCTATAGCGTCTTTTTGAGGGTAGAAGTTGAAACAATTTATGTCCAGGATGTGAGGGGTCTGTAGATATTTTCACAGCCCTCTTTTTGATTCGTGCAGTATACAGGTCCTCAATGAAAGGCAGATTGGTAGCAATTGTTTTTTTTTTTGTTTTTTTTTGCAGTTCTAATTATCCTCTGAAGTCTGTGTCTGTCTTGTTTGGTTGCAGAGCCAAACCAGAGAGTTATAGAGGTGCAGATGACAGACTCAATAATTCCTCTGTAGAACTGAATCAGCAGCTCTTTGGACAGCTTTCTGAGTTGGCACAGCAACAAGTTAAGCTAGGCAAAATCACATCAGATAACCTGTACAATTAGCACAGGAGTCCCCCAGGGCTGTGTGCTCTCTCCACTTCTCTTCTCTATACACCAATGACTGCATCTTAAAAGATCCCTCTGTTAAAGTACTGAAATTTGCAGGTGATACAACAGTGATTGGTCTCATTCAAGAGAACGACGAATCTGCCTACAGATGGGAGGTTGAACAATTAGCCTTGTGGTGCAACTGGAATAATCTTGAACTAAACACTCAAAACCGTAGGAATGATGGTAGATTTTAGGAGAAAGCCTCCTATACTACCACCTCTTACAATACTAGACAACACTGTATCAACAGTAGAGACCTTCAAGTTTCTAGGTTCTATCATATCTCAAGACTTAAAATGGACACCTAACACTAAAAATGTCATCAAAAAAGCACAATAAAGAATGTTCTTTCTGCGCCAACTCAGAAAACTGTCCAAAGAGCTGCTGATTCAGTTCTATAGAGGAATTATTGAGTCTGTCATCTGCACCTCTATAACTCTCTGGTTT